GGGCAGGTGACCATCGGGACACGCTGAGCCCCCGCTTTGGTGGGAATCCCAATAAACCAGCGCTCGCCACCGCCTCGTGTCCAGTCCCCATCTCCTGGCTGGGATCAGAGCCCAGTCCCGGCATTCCGAGCTCCAGATACCCGAAAGCGCTGTCGCCAACCTCGAAGGCACTGGGGATTCAATCCCACAGTGCCGGGAAGGAGCAGTGGGGTGGAGGGGGAGGACATTCCATGTCCTTCCAGCTAAGGGGGGGCTCTCGCTCCTTCCCAAAGTGTGGAAAAACCTGGGAACACACAATTCCCAAGGAAGCCCCGATTTTAGCTCATTCCAGAAGCGTTGGTGCTCCCCACCGGGGGTTTTCCTTAACAAAAAGGGAAGGATTTAAGGTGGGATTTAGGCACTGGGTCCGTGCCCATACCACCATTCTCTATGGATTTGGGATCGGAGTCGCTCTTTCCCAAGCGGAGCTGAAGGGATTTGGGTCCCGTGTCCAGTGGGTGGGAGCGAGGCAGCACCTTTGGGCCTGACCAAATCCAATTGGGATCAGATTAACGAGGGATCCAGGGGTGGATCCTTGGAAGACCCCAGCTCCAGGGCACAATTAAAGCCGGATTTGTTGGGAATTGGATCCTGGAAGCTTCCATTGGGATCTCACTAAGGCCGAGCCACGGATTTACAACCTTAATCTTTATTATTTGACATCTCATAAAACTAAATCTCCCATTTAATTCCCATTTTAGCCAAAAATAGTTGGAAGTAGCTCTGGAATGCCAACAGGAACCAAACCCCACCAACAAAAAGAGGGATAAAACACAACCGGAGTCTCTGGATTGAGCTGGAATCTCGGGAGCAGCCGAGACATTGAGACAGGAAAAGGGAGCAAAAATAAATACAGGAGCAGGAAGGTGGGATAAGTGCCAGGATGCGGAATGGGATGGAGACCCCAAAACCAGGGAATGCCGCAGGGAAAAGCAGGACAGACTCCAGGTCTGGACACCAGCCGGGCTGTGGGGATGGTTAGAAGTGAATCCCAAAGGAATACAACCAGCAATGGGAATTGGGGAAGATGATGGGAGGTTGGTTCAGGATGAAGCCAAGAGCTTCCCAACATGGAATCCCACTGGGAATGGGAGAGAAGAGCTCCTGGCAGCAGGAAAACTGCCTCCGAGGTGGATCCTTCCCCAGTTCCAACCCAAGCCCGGCTTTGGATCCCGGGAGGAGCCGGCAGGGGAAGGAAACGGGTGCAAGACAAGTGCAGCGCCGGATCCCAAACGGGATCCAAGGGGCAAGAAAAGCAGCGCCAGATCCCAAACAGGATCTGAGGGGTGGGAAAAGCAGCACCAGATCCCAAAGCAGGATCCAGACGGAATCCATGGGGCAGGAAAAGCAGCGCCAGATCCCAAACTGGGATCTGAGGGGCAAGAAAAGCAGCGCCGGATCCCAAATGGGATCCAGATGGAATCCAAGGGGCAGGAAAAGCAGTGCCGGATCCTAAAGCAGGATCCAGATGGAATCCAAGGGGCGGGAAAAGCAGCACCAGATCCCAAAGCAAGATCCAGATGGAATCCAAGGGGCAGGAAAAGCAGCACCAGGTCCCAAACCGGGATCCGAGGGGTGGGAAAAGCGGCACCGGATCCCAAGGTGAGGAAAAGCGCGGGATCAGGCGCAGATCTTGATGCGGGTGCCCTTGGCCAGGATGCGGAAGAAGGGGAAGATGCGCTCGTGGAAGGAGGCGTTGAAGGTGTGGATGTGGCTCATGCTCTCGGCGTTGTAGAAGCAGAGCTGCCCCCTCTCGTAGTCCAGGTAGACCCCGA